ACTCTTTCCTGCCTATGCAGGGGGTCGGACTCGATGATCTATTGAGGTCCCTTCCGACCCTAGCATCTATGAATCTATTAATCTATGTTGGCACAGACCCAACTGGGCAGGCCATGGAAAGTATATCTGCCACCAGCAGCGACTTACCTGGGCAGTAGTGGATGGATCCTCACTTCATAGCACTGCCATCTCATAACCTGCCTTGTAGTCACTTAAGTGTGCTCAGCAGTAGCGTCTTCATAACGCTTCCTAATGGCTTGAGATCAGATTGGATGTCCACCACGTGCCTAGAGGTAAGCAGATGGGATTGTTCCATTTTGAAGAGCCCAACCAGTAGTTCTTTTTCTATCCAACCATCTTGTCCTTCTTGTGTCTGTCAGGAAACTATCAGCAAATGCCATAGTCTGCTGGCTTTGCATCTACGCTGCTCCCAGATCTCCTTCTACAGCACCATGCTTTTAGCTCATGCTGCTTCTCAGGGCTGTAGTAAGTACTTCCCAGCTGATCTGTCCAGGCCTCTCCTTGGTTCTTAGAGCATTCCCTTTACATCCTTTGGCTTGGGGGTTTCCTTAGTAGCTCTCAGTTCTTCAGGGTCTCTCAAAAGGGTCTCTTCTCTAACTTAGAAGACCTCAGTTCTTATCAGTATCAGCTTGTTTGCCTTTAGTCTATTATTCTGCCTCTCATACTTGTTCAGGATCTGCCATTGGCTTGGTATCATGGCCCCCGATTGCCTCATGTCATCTACTTTATTCTATATTACTATTCCTTGCCATCTACTCTATTTTTCTGACTACCTACCTTTACTTCCTCAACAAGGAACAATAAAAATCACAGTCTCTTTATATACAGGGTCAACTTATAAATCAATTCCCTGACAATTGAGCTCTCGTACCAATTTTTGATTGACCCTTGTGGAAACAACTAATAAACAAGGGAAAAGCAACTTTCCCCTAAAACTGAAGCTGAAATCACATGGTTGGCGCACTGCCTTCACCTGCTCCTGCCACTAGCAGCTCATGTGCGGGAAGGGAGTAGCAGTGGTGGCCGGGCCATGGCAGTGGGGTGGAGCCTCAGCTCAATGCGCAAGAGCTGGCAGCGGGAGGAGGTGAGGGCAGCACAGCCCCCCACTTCCATTACTCTTTGTGTTGCTGGTGGCATGGTGTTACTCCATGGTGGCACAGTTGGCATGGGGGTCCCAGCGGCGGTGTTAGTGCTTGGGGCAGCAGCAACAAGTCTTGCTGCCCTGCTCCGCCCTCCTACGCTGGGCTGCTCCGCCCTCCTATGCTGGGTCCCATCCGCTGGGCTGCAGAGGCGGCCTGGTGCCAGTCCAGCCAGGCTGCAGCCCCACTGTTGGTGCACAAATCTATGGGGACACCCATAGTCAACCCCATGCTCCACAACACGTCACCGATGGTCAGGAACCCCTCCTGCTCCACACACACAGTCCCCTTGCTGCACACACACACCCTGTTCTCCATACACTGCAGGGGCACTGGGGGCACTAGGGGCTGGGGCGGGGGGCAGCAGGTCAGAAGTGAGGGGCACCAGCAGGACTGGTGGGGGAAGTGGGAAGCTGTGGCTTGGAAGTGAGGGGCAATGGCATGGGCAGGGGCAGGGCACTGGCATATCAGGGCTGCTCAGCACCACAAGGCAGCAGGGGGCACAGCCACAGCTGGATCGGTGTCCTGGTGAGCAAAGGGGGCAGGGGGGGCTCTGATTTTCCATGAAAAAAAAATCAAAATCAAATGCCAAAATATACAGGTATTTAGAATTTATTTTATTATAGTGATTGAGGCATGGTAGGCTTCCACATTGCTTTAAAATTGCAAATATATCAATAAAACATTGTGTTCAACTGACATCTATATCTGTCTGTCTATAGAAAATGAAACAGCGCTATATCTATCTATCTATCTATATGTCAGTTGAACACAATGTTTTAATGTTTTAGATATAGATAGATAGATATAGCGCTGTTTCATTTTAATCATGGAAAAATGAGGATCTGGAGTTTTTAAATCAGAGGATCTGTGATTTTTTTTTTTTAAATCAGAGACTGGGATTTTTAAACAGAGAAAAGCAGGCTCCCTGGCCCTAAGTCACTAGTAAAAGCTTCTTTTCAGTGCTCTTTTCAGAAGTCTGTGCATCGCCTAGCACAACGAAGGGCCCCAGAGTGATGGGAGGAACCCTGGGCGCTACTACAGTTAAGTAAGAAAAATAATGTATAGCTGAAGTATCCCCAAATGCCCCCAACTACTTCTTCCTCGCACGCACCGTGAGAGCAGTACACACAATTCATCTGATCAGCAAGATACATCACCGAAAGGAACATCGGTTGATTTGAAGTGCATAGTAAGACATCCGAGAATCGCACTGAATACCTCTCGATGAATTAGGTCCTAAATTAAGTTGCTGCTCAGAATATATATCAAGTAACTGACAGGTGCTTCAAAACTTTTTCCTCCATCCTCCTTAAATATAATAGATACATGTGTTAACAATTGCCTCATTATTTTTCCCCCCTCGTAAAAAGTATCTAAAGATTTCAGAAGGGAAAATGAGTCCTCTTATTATAGCCCTGCACAGTCCAGTCAGGTGTGACAAGGCCAGTATTTCAACAGATACATTTCAGCAGAGCAGAAATGCTGACTGTTGTTAGGATGCTTCTTTTCTTTTCTTTTTTTCTTTTTGCCTCCTCCTCTCCTGCAGCAGGAAGCCTGATTGCCTTTCCAATTGGCGGTATATTAAAACCTGCGTCTAGATCTCAGTGTGAGACTCATTACGGCTGTCATTAGATGAGCTTTGATCTTCGGGAAAAAAGAAAAGAGAGCTGAAAATATTTGAACGTGTAAAGCTTGTCATTAGAACATCGTTGTCGAACGTCTCCAGAAATGAGGTCAGACGGACTCCGTTTTTCCTTCAGCTCAAATCCAAAAGGGGGGAAAAGAGGTAATGGAACAAAAAGTGCTCAGGAATGACCAAAATCCTGGTGCTAATTGATTCCTCACGATATGCTCGTCCCACATGTCAAAGTGATACCCCGATAACTGATCGCTTCCCGTTTCCCTCTACCTGAACATCGTATTGATCATTTGGTTATGAATGCATCCCCAGCTATACACACATGCACAAAGAGAGAGAGGGAGAAAGAAACAGCCAGAATACATGATGGGACAGGGCAAAATTTTTATCAGTGTGAGTTCTGGATGGCCACATTACTCACAAGCAGCAATGCTGAGCCGAGCCGATTCCCAGGAAGCCTTTATAGCACACATCACCATCACTCATTCTGCGGATGCGCTCGCCTTATAAAAGAGCTGCTTGAGAGCTGCTTCATAGCATTTTTTTAAAGTGTCTAGAGAAAGGACTTTTTCCTATGCCTCTGCTTATATAAATGCATCTGGCCTGATTTAAAATGCAGAAGGAGGGAATGGATAGCTAATACAATTGTGAAACTTTAATGAATGGGGGGCCAGTTTTGCTATTCCGAATAATTCTGTTTCAAACTCTGAACCTTGGGCCCAGTTGCTGCTTGAGGCAACGAATCTGGTCTTTCCCATCACATGGAGCTCCCATTTCAATCCTCAAAGCATCAGATATCAGACCTTAAGCCTGTCACTAGCTTGGGACAGACCGGGGTTCACCCTGAGCTTCAGACAGGTGTAATTCGGAGTCACAGGAAAGTGGGAAATCACCTGGAAGGAGGAGGAAGCCTTCGGAGACTTCATTCAGAATATAAATTAGCGCCAAGCTGCACATAGGAGTACAAGATGGTTAAAGTGTATTTGAACTTATGTCACATAAACAAACACAGACTCTTGCTTTTCCCTCATTTTTATTTTAAAATTGAGCTGATTCTAATAGCATCCAGAAATACAAACAGCTAGAACACTAACTGAGCTTTCTGGAGGGAAGTTCCTTCATTCACAGCCTTGGGAAATGCTGGCGGTGCTGTGCCACGGAGATGATTTGCAAAGCCATTGCTTAAAGTATGCCTGGCTATAGCTGGGGCTATTACAGCTCACAATTGCTAAATTCATTCCTGGGTGCCTGAGTGAGGACCCCAGGTGCAGAATTGCTTGTTCTACATACAAAAATCATCTCCATTTTATCTCTTACTAGCTAGAGGTCTTAATTAGAAAGGGGTCACAGTTGCAGAATTCAGACATGGATTCAGAAATGACCCCAAAGAAAGCAAGGATCGGGATCTGCAGCTGGGTTTGCCCATTCCTGAAAGAGGTGGCAGCAGCAACATTTGGAGACAGCTCCAGGTTCAGGGTCAAAGTGGACAAAGGGGGACACCTTCAGCTGTGTGACAGCCTTGCTCTTCTTGCAGTTCCTGCTTCTGCAATCCACACATGCTCAGCACAGCGTCTGCAGATTCACAGACGTTTGGGGCTGGAAGGGACCTTGTGATCCTCTTCTAATGGTAGCTGGGACACCACTCCATCATGGTGATGGGGCAGAGCCTTGACTAACAGTCCTAGAGTTTTTTACATCAGTTAGGAGCCACTAGAGGTCTTGCTAGAGTCAGCAATCCCACTTGCCCATGACTATGCACAGCATGGTATGAACATTTCTTAGGACTAAAAACCTCACTGAGCTCCCACTAAAGTAGGGCACCTCCAAGTGACTCCACCAACTTATTGCTACATACCACAAACCTTTGTGCCTTTTGGATAAGGGATGATTCTTTAGTTAGTTCTTTTGGTCATTCACTGAAGCAACAAGGGCTCCTTCACTGAGAAAGACACCAGGAAACAAAGGCAGCTGTGTAAGTTGAGAGAAACTCCTCAGATGCCTTGACCAACATGAACACCCATTACATAACATCACTACTGAAGCCAATGGACTTTTACAGACGTGCACAGCAAGTCCTACCATGTGGGGTCACCTATACAGACTCACTGTCCTGCAGATATAGCATTACATGCTCAGCCAAAAAAAAAAGCCACCAGATAATAAAGTAATGGTGTAAACATCTCAGAAGGAAACGAGAGCACAGCACTATCAAACGGAGGCAACCAAGCCAACGAGCCCGCTCCTAAAGTGCATCAGTGGAAAAAACTAACAAACAATCTCACTTTATGAGTTATTTTGATGAAAATCCTCTCTATTGTGGTCAAACCTAAGGACATGGAAGAAGACCAGGGTCTTTTTGTGCTAGATGCTCATGCAAACAGACCCAAGGGCTTCAGGATGCCTATCCAAATACTTCAGGAAAGTTGTACTTCCTGGTTCGCATTTTCCAACCCAAACACTCAGTTATTAAACAGAACTTAGAGTAGCGATGCAGAGCTGGGGGCAAGCAGCTCCTAGGCACAGGGCTGAGTCACATCTCGGCTTCATTTAGAGTCTCTCCTTTGCTGAAGTGATGAAAAAAGGAATTTACATGGAAAGGACCACGCACCACAGACAGCAAAAGCCAGAATCTAGCATTTAAATAACTGAGCTACCCAGTTGCTACAGCTATCTATCATGTATGAAGCACTGACTGCCAGGGCAGTATCTGGAACAGAGAAACAAGGTCCAGACAGGTAGAGGGCCACAGCTGGAAACATCCCCTAGAAAGATGCTTGGGCTTGCGACAGCTTTTACTTTAACTTCCTGAACAGCTGATTTTTTTGCAATGGCAACTCCAGGCCAACACCACTTCTTCCCTTCATTTGTCCATCTGCAACGCTGCAGAGAAAGAGTAATCTGCAGCTTTTATTCCAGCAGCCACTTTGCATGAAACTCGCTTTTTTGCAATCTCCTAGCAGAGCCCAGGTCCCTGGCTGCCGGGAGATAAAATGTGTCACTACTCCATCTGCTCCTCATTTGCTGAATAGTCTGCACAGCAACATGCTGCTGAGCAGAATATTCCAAAAAGAAAGACACCACTCAGCCCAACAGATATGGCTTTTGACAGAGCTGGAGCCTCTGCTCATTAATCATCCTGGTTTGCTGCTTACAGTACCTGGTGGAACCGTTAGGACTGCATCCCCACTTCAATATTTTATGGTGCGATCATACAGTAAGACAAACTCCACGTCTGGTGCAGGGATAGGGAAATGGAAGCAGCAGCAACAAGCTCCCGATGCTAAATGATTCCATATTACAAGACTGTTCCATAATTCATATGCAATGGCCCTTGGTTACTGGGGCGAGGGGAGATGTCTATCCAACTGTAGACTGTACCCAGCAGCTGTGATCCTCTGTATTGTCTTAAAGGGACATCAGAAGGCATTGAAACTATACTAAGCCATAGAGGGAGGCATAGCAAACAGCTTGGTCTGATTGAAAAAGTCGCCCCAAATGGGGTCCCTCTCGGTGCCTGCTTACCATAGGGAAAATCCAGCCCCATCCTCCGAGGGCACAGAATGCCAGCTGGCTTCCACAACGGCGTGGTCCTGCTCCACCAAGGAAAGGCTTGGGGAGGGAGCTCTGTGATAGGGGTGCACTCTTTGTGCAGCTCTGCAGAGGCTCCCTGCCCTACATGGAGACCATGGAGGTAGGACTGGCCCAGGCATTGCTGCAGTATAAATGAGAAGACCTTAGTGAAGTCACCCAGTGTAGCGAGGACAAGCCCGCAGAGTGCAGAGCAGCCGTGAAGTCACACTACAGCCACTGCTGCCTTCCTCTCAGCATCCATCTGAAAGCCTGAGCTTAGACAGTGGCTCAGCCTCCAGGTCCCAGCCCTGCAAATACCTCCAGTCCCCACCAATCGTATCAGGAAGGTACTGACCCCCCTAGCAGATCAGGGCAAAACAGAGCATAGAAATTTTTAATCAGGCCAATTCTGAGCAGACAAAACCATCCGAGCTTTCACAGACGGGCAGCTCCTGGGCAGCTTCCCTTCTGACATCTTCCCGGTCCATGTACTCTCATCGTGTGATGTCCTTACATTGCAGCGCTCTCCGGTCCAGCTGGTACACGCAGCCATCACCAGGGAGATGCCTCTACAGAATAACGCAGTGCCTTACAGAGGTATCCTAGCTAGCTGGGAATGAGCTAGGGCTTATTGCTGCCACTGTACCCAAGGCAGTACCTAGCAGAGAGAACCAAGCTAGCACTGTAGAGCATCAGTCCTGTGCTCAATCTGGACTAATTAGCCCTTATGTATATTGAAGTACATCCAGCTGCTAAGTGACCAGACATCCCATGAGCTGCAGCAGTGGAAGCCACATCCCCGTGGGCCACACTACGGCAAGTTGTGGGCCCTGTGGGTCCCAAATGTGCAGATGCCCCCTTCCCTCTCCAGTGCACCATGCACCTATTCCTTCTCCCTTCCCCACACCTGCCAGTGCAGCCCCAGGGCCACCCTCAGCTCCGCTGTGCAGGGCCGGGCAGTGACAGCTGGAGGAGAGAAGGAGAGTCGAGAGACTCTGGCTGCTGTTGCCGCCGGAGCAAGGGGAGGCCAGGCAAGGAACCTGGGGGCCACCACTTAACCCTTCACGGACCACATGTGGCCTGCAGGTCACCAGCTGGACAGCCTGATATTAAGAGACTAGCTGGTTGGGAAATCAAGCTACCATGTATTTGGAACAGCTATTATTACGCGGTTCCCGGAAATCTCTGCTTTTCAAACCAGCAAACGGGCCAACCCCAAACCACATTATTTAGGAATGCTTTTGAAAGAACTGACATGCCCAGCAGTGGCAAAAATACAGTTTGGACATGTATTAACTCCATTAGGAAGCTCCGTCCCACTGCAACTCTACCTGCTATGTGCTCGAGCAGCTCCTGCGACAATAACCAACCCTCGTGTGTTTGAAGAGTATCAGCCAGGCATGTCAGGGTCTGTCCGCACATCAGGTCCTATTGTCTGTTTGATTTATATCTCCCGCCTGCTGGAAGATTTTTTTCCTTCCCTGGAAAAAAAAAACAAACCCCAACAACACCAAAAACCTCCAGCCGGAATCAGAAAGCCAGGTGCCGTGTCTTTTGTTCTTTACACAACGAAATATGAAGGAGCCAAACAAAGCACAGTGGATTCCAAATAACCGTGTTTGCTAATTAGACACCACATGCCAGCCCTGCACATTGCTGCTCTGGCTGGCTGGTTTCTGAGACACCGAACACAATGAGCAGCAGAAAATAACTCGCTAATTATTTAAAAGGATATTACCCAATTTCTGTAAACTACTGAACCAAGCATCTTCCTTTTCGGCAATGATGGAAGAAGGTAAAGAAGCCCTTCCAGCTAGCTCACACATGAAGGAGAAGTGAAAATATGAGGGGTGGAAAGTATTAATCTGGACTGTGACTACACCCAAGATGCAGGCAACAATGATACAAGCCAGGGATAGACCAGTGATATACTGCTCATCTTCACTCATGAAGCTCTATAGAGAAGCAGAGGGGAGGACAAATGAACCTCTTCTGTTAATTCCTCACCTGAAATGTGGCTCTGTGCTAACTAATATCACGTGTTCAAACACCCAATGTGGGTAATATGCACAAGTTAATATACACAGGATACAGGGCAGTTTTTCAGCTGGTACACGCTTTCAGAGTACCGCTGAAGCCAACAACTTCACAATTTCCCCTGGCTAAGATGCACCCATTGAGTCCCTGCTAACCCAACAAAAGTATATACTAAGTTTCACCCTGAGACTCGTTTACAACAATCAAATTCCATTGACTTACAGCTTTATTGACTGCAATCTTTTTTTTTTTAAAGGATCACTTACTTTTAAATACAAATTATAATGCTATATATTAAACTGCCATGAGGAGACTCTTTGTGCCAAAGGGGCAGCCCGTATTGCTTCTGGGGAGCACAGGGAGCCTAAGCAGTGTGTTGGGCCAGTCAGTCGGTTCACTGGCCACCACTGGGATGACTGGCAGTGGTGCGAAGGAGTCACCCACGGCATCCATGGTGGGAAGGGCCTGGTGAGCCTGGAGGTAGCCTTCTAGGGCGGTTGCTGCTTCCATCGGGAGGGTGGCCCTAACAGCCTGCAGAAGCCGGCCCACAGTGCGGACAGAGCGCAGTGCCATCCGGACAGCCAGGGCTTTGGCTGACAACCAGCCCGACTGAGCAGGGTCCAGGAGGTCCCCCAGGCAGGTGGTGTGCGCCTCGATGAGAGCAGCCACGAGGCTGAAGAAGTGAAGAATCTGAAAACAAAGTGATAAGACTTTCTAAGAAAAAAACCCACATTTCCACACTTACCCTTGCCTAAGGTTAGCACCATTCCAGGAACAAAGACATGCAAATCCTTGTGTTTGATGAAGAAGTTACTAGAGAAGAAGAAAAAGAAAAAGTTCTTACATTCCACCCAAATCTTTCGGCCCAAAACAGGGCCGAAAACAGGCCCAAACGGAAGCAAGAAGCTGCCTTAAGATATTTCCTCAAATCCAAACCTTTATTGAACAACTTTGTGATAAACTTATGCCCCAGGTCGAGGTTGGTGACATAAGGACCTTTAGAGATGACAAATACGGTTTTTGTGACATCAATTGAAATTTCCTAAAGGGAAATTGACACTGAGAAAATATTGCAGCATATTACAACTCTATTAGGATCCCGACAAACTCACAAAGGCCAAAAATAAATAAATCCCTAGCCAATCTGACTCGGCTGATTAACCAATTTCTCAGAACGGTAGCTGAATTGAAAAATAAATGTTTCAGGTCAACCTGAAACTGAAATTGGCTGGAATATCCAGCAAATTGAAACAATTAATTTGGGGTTCAACAAGAGGTTGCATTTGACCCCAAAATAAATTGTTTTTGTTTTGTTTTGGGGCATTGTGTAATAAAAACCAAGGGTTAGCATCGTCAAGGGATGTATGTGCCGTTCACAAAATGGGACAGGATAAAGCAGTATCCCTCTTCTGTTGGATAGCTCAGGCATTGGGGAATCTACTTGGGCAGATAGTCAGGGTTCAAATCCCGTCTCTGCCTTATTCACAGCACTGGTTAGACTCAGGTTTGCCCACTGTTAGACATTCCCTAATCACTGGACTGTAGGGAATTGCTGAATGTGGTCCATTTTATTAACTCAGAGAGACCAAGTCTGTCTTCATGGCCCAGCAATGAGGGCGTTCACCTGGAAGAAGGGACTTCTGGTTGCGGTACAGGCTCCAAACACACCTTCAGTCGTTGGCAGAAAATGGAACACCTGCAATGGGACAGAATGAAGAAGACCTACCCCAAAATACCCTCTAATCTGGTGTCTAAGACATTCACCATCCTGCTGCAGGTAAAAACCACGCAAACTTGATATGCTATCATCCCTGAGCCTTTCCTGGAGCAACAAACTAACTCAGGATCCAACAGAAACACCAACTAAAGCCCCCTTCCTAGGTTCCCTACCTTAAAGTCTACTTGTCTGTTCCAGATCTCAAGGCCTTCTCGCAAACAGCTACTCCCAGCTCTCCAGTAGCAATGACGGAGTTCAACAAGCCACTCCTGCTGGCGTGAGACACCAGAAATTCACCACTGGCTCTTTGCAAGCTTCCCTAAACTGTTAACAGGACCAGACTTCAAAACAGACCCTATCATATCCCTCAAACTAGTGCATCTGAGAAACAAACCTACTGACTCTTAGGTACGAGTGCTCCTGAAGATATATGCACAGCCAAGCCTGATGTGACAGAACAAGCCTAGCTGGTTTTCAGCACTAAGCTGCGCAAGAATTCCTTAGAGCGCTCACACTGGCATTGAAGAACGGTCAACAATTATCCCAACAACTTCACCCTCCCACAGGAACCTCCCGGCCCCACGCAGCAGGCGCTCACAGGCATTTTGTTCATTTAGCTGACTTTTTAGGAAATGCAGACTAAGTTACTTCTTAATGGAGACGTGCAATGTTCTGAAAGGGAGTCTTTAGAGTGGGGAGTAACAAGAGCTATTTATAAAACCAGCCAGAGTCCTTCCCCACGGAGGTCTCAGTGTGACACTCCCTACAGCCTTATGCTTCAGCTCCGGAAACAAAGCACCCAATGAAGCATCACGGAGAGGCTTCTTTACAATTAATGGGCAATGTTGTCCCTGGCTACTTCAGTGGAGTAACAGCAAGGATTCACTTAGCTCTGTCCCTCACACACAAAAACTGGGGGATCTTGAAAAGCAAGCACTCAAAAGATAGCCAGCGGCAGAATTAAGACGGCCTGCGTATGCTATCGTCAGACCCCTGCTTCGTTCAGTGCACAAGATAGACTTGTTCTGGAGAGGATTAGGACTGAATTTTCCAAATAGCAATACATCAGCTGAGGACAAAGAACTGGTCTGGAAACAATCAGCCTGAAAAGTGACAGTTTGGTAGTTATAAACAACTGAAAACAGTGTCTTATAATGGGAAGTATCAGGTGACCATAATAATATTATAGCTCTTTTCTCCATAGATCTCCAGGCACTTTGCAAAGGAGGTCCATATCACTGTCCTCCATTGTCAGACGGCCATTTACCAACCCTGCTGGCAATACCGTATCCCAGAATTGGATGAAATTGCATAGTGCTTTGTCAGCCCTTGCCTGTAAGCTGGGGACGGCGATTCCTTCCCCTGGCATGTCAGCAGGCAGTGCATCTGCTTCCCCCAGAAGAGGGATTGGATCATTCCTCAACTCATGCCCACCGCAGGAAGGAAGGACTGTTTTTTCCCCTCTCCTGCAACCGGAACAGCCAAACCATGGCATGCATGGGCAGCCTCGGTGTGTGGCACGCATCATGTAGATCAGGGAAGGAGCAAGGAGAACGGCAGCAGATAGCGCAAGGAACAGAAGGCAATGCAGCAGCTCAGGCAAGGGAAGGGGATGAGAGTGGCACTCGGGGAGGATGCAGGGCTAATTAATGCAACATGCCAAAAAGGTTGGCCGCCACTGTCCTAGAACATCATTTCTATCCCGACTCTGCCTTTTCCCTTTTCAAACAATAAGGGCCTGGATATATCCAGACAGACAGAAATGGCCAGCTGGAAACAAATGCACATGAATGCAGTGAGCCGGCTGGCTTAGCTCTGCCCCACCTCCATGCTTGTGTTCAGGCTGTTTCATCTATTTGACATTATCCATACAGCTCATAGACCCTTCCACCACCTGTTATCTCTGGAGGCAGCTTTACAGTTTGGCTGTATCTTATTCAGCCTCTGCTCTCTGTTATACTTCTGGGGCACAGGCAGCACAGCCCCATGGCTGGGACCACGGGCAAAGTGGGTCTGACCTGATGGATTCAGAAGCAAGGTCAAGTACAAGGAAGCACAACAGCAACTACACTCAGGAACGTGCGAGTTGAGTAGTCTGTGGTCAGATGCCACGGGTGGGCTTAAATAGAGGACCTGTTGCTCTTCCCAGCCAGTCAGGCCGTGAGTAGGTAAGTACAATCATCCTGACAGATCCCCAAGCTGCCAAACTGATCCAGTGGGGCTTATTGATAAGGTTCCTAATAGTGCCTCCAAACCTGGTACCAGCTGTACATTTGATTATAGTTGTACTAACCCCAAGAAAACAACCAGCAGAGGAAATGATGAAGCAGGAGAGCAGGATGCAGAGTTGTCATGTTTTAGTCGAGTCGATTAAAACGAAAACCTGTGCACACTTTAAAAACAGTCCTGGCCTAAGCTCCAGGCAAGCTCCAGGGGTGATCAGCAGTTTGCAGAGAATAGCCACAAGTGGTCTATAAGCAGTACTCTGCACTGTTTGTCACTGTGCCAGCCATGTAATTCTGCAGACTTGTCTTAGGACATTTCAGCACAGATTACTCTTCACTCTGGAAGAGTTTTTGCAGTCATGCTATTCATCCATGACCTCCCCTACCAGGTGCTGGAAGAACAACAAATATATCTTCCCTTCCTGGGAGGAGAAAAAAAAAAGGAAAGATTTAAGATAGTCAGCTGTTCCAGCCTTCTGAATGACAACAGCTGCTTCTGCTTCTAGGACTATGATGGAAATGCAGGGCAAGTTTGTCCACAGTGAAAACGGTCGCTGCCTGAGAGAGGATCATGGATCCACACAAATAAACTGGAAGATTTCCATCAAGTTTTCAATGCAAAGACTTGTCCATTAGGAAAGCCACCCCCACAGTCAGCACCATTGTTAGCACTCAGGGAATGACTGGCCACGTTAGGGGTAGTTGTAGGAGGCATGCGCTGTTTCTAACCTGGCAAATCTATTATCTATCAAGAGTACAAAACAGAAAGAAAAAAATCAGTAAAGTATTTCTGAAAGTCATAATCCCCATGTAAGCAACTGATCAGAGCTTTACAAGCTTTATATGTGCAACAGCTTTCATCCCAGGCACATTTGGCTTTCCACACTCACAAGCCCATTGTCAGGGCTATTCGTCCCCTAATCCTCACTAGGTGGCCTGCTCAGATCCACTAATCTTTGGAGCTTTGAGCATCCGCAGCAATGGTATTGCTCTTTCACTCACCCGATCACACTCCTTCCATAACCCACAATTTTAATTGGCTTAAGGCTTCCTGCTCACTTTGTCCTCCAGAGCCTGAGGCATCTTGGAGGACCTGATTAACTTAATGGTCAAACAGGGGGATGTGGATGAGTTTCAGGCAACGGGTTTTTCACTAGAGGAAGTCCTTGTAATTCCTCCAATGACACACTGCAGGCTCAGTCCTGAAGAACATTCTCGCATGAAAAGTACAAATCATTTCACTTTTAATTAATCAAGGAGGACACTTGCAATTCTAATTAGCAGCAAGCTTCTTACTGGAAAAAAATAACACCGTTTGGGGTATTGCACTCACTGCCATTTCAGTAAAACAATAATAATCAATGAGATATTTCCATTGTACCATTCTCCCCCACCCCTACCCCCACCCCACCACCTCCACTGGCCCTTCTAGCATGTGTAAAGAAGAAGGATATCAAACATTTTTTTGCTCAGGAGGAAGACCTTGACAAATGCTCCTTCTTAGTCATCCTCAAATCCGCCAGCATCTCAAATTACCTGCCACACACCGTAACGTGTTCCATGATTTGAATCAAAATGGACAAGCACTTAAAAAAAAAAAAAACCAACCTTTTTTTGCAAAAGCTCCCTCTATCTTTTGACGAGTCACAGTCAGCCCTTCTTCTCCACTAAAGAGTCAGGGGCTAAACAACGTTGGGAGACTTCTGCTCTACCGTACAGCAGAAAGCGTCAATTTAAAGTATAGGCAA